GATCCATGTCCTTCCTGTGGATGTCTGTGATCTCTGTGTGTCTGACCTCCAGCAGCAACCAGTGAGCCGTTTGCTCCGTGGCTATGCTAGCTAGCTCTGCTGTGGGGCAGAACCTGTGAGGATAAAGAGAGGGGGGGCAGCTGTGAGGGGTGCCTGTTCAAAGTCCAGAGTTCCCCCCAGAACTCCCTGTCAGTTCCAGTAGTTCTCTGCTGAGTTGCAAACAGTTTACTGTAGAGTCTGTTTGCATGAAGCGCATCAGATAAAGGTTTAGCTAAAGGAACAGAGGTTTAGACGGAGTATCAGGTTTAGGCCTGAATCTAATTTAAAGCGTCTTCGCCGCTCATGTTGCCTCCATGTTTTGTTTTCTTCTCAGCTGGAACAGTCGACTCCTCAGGAGGTGGAGGACTTCCTGAACAGAGAGGATTTTTCAGACAGCTCATCCCGTCGTAGCTCAGCTAGCAACCTCTTCCTAAAGGCCATGGATGGCCGCCCACGTCGCCGCCGCAGTCTCTACTCCCACGCCTTTACCGCCGGAGGCCCCCAAAGCCCTGACCCCCCCAACGGCCGCCGCTCCAGCACAAAAGATTCGTCCAACCCCGAGACGGATGGCACGGCCCACCCTTCCGAAGGCAACGCCCTCCGGCGACCATCCGCCACCGAGCTGCTGCTCACGCCGCTCAAACAGTTCGTCGCACAAAGCCAGAAGGCCTTGGAGTACCTGAGCCCCAACTCCAGCGACGGCACCGCCACGAAAACAGACCACCCTTAAACACCCGGTTCGCCGCGACCCGGTCGCAGCGTCCAGACCCGCCTCCTGATCCGCCGAGGCCTCTCGCTGCAGCCCACGACGGCGAGACGCCTCTGCCTCAGCTGATGCTGGTCTGTGCGTTCATGCTGAACCGTAGGGGCGTCACCAAATTAGCGCTCTGATGCTGGAAATCTGCTTTCCTCAAACCGTTGCACATTTCAGACCAGTCCAATGTACAGACAGACAGAATATTATATAGTTTCCTTAGAGATTATGACCAAGTTCATGCTCCTGTTAAAATGCCACCTTTATTAGATAAAGGACCAAAAATGATTAAATATTATGAACTCATTTTGAGAACACAAAGGTTGGAAAGGCCAATATCTGGTTGATTTAGTTCTATGTTTGGAATATGATGCAGAAAAATGAAAATCCCTTTTTATCCTAAGCTTTCCAGGCATTAATATCATCATCCCTGTTCAGGACATAGAAGATATTTATCTAAACATTGAAGGTCCCCGATCATGACTATGCCACCGCCGTGTTCTACTATGTTAAGATGGTGTTGAAACCAGAAAATAAATAATTCCACAGGTTCTGGAGGATTTTAACCCAGTCGGGATGTTTTTCTTTGCTTAAACAATCCTTCTCATTGATGCCGACATACAGGGAGGGGCGTCACAGGTTGAACAGAATCAGAGCTCATCAGAAACCCGTTCAGCCTTTCCTGCCAGTTTCTATCTTTCTTTAAAAAGAAAATATCTCTGTCCGTCTCTCCAACAGTGGATAAATATCTCCTCTTCCCTTTTTATGACGAGCAGCCCGGAGAGTAGAGTCCTGCAACGGGTCCTCATTTTAGTGGGTCCCCGACGGGTCACCCGATAAAATGCTCTTTTGTCGGTGAAAAATACATAAATAAAAATAAACAGGTCGGGCGGATATTTTTTTAGTGCGGGCGGGTAGTTGGTGATTTTTATGCGTGTCTATTGTTATGGACATCAGAAATTTTATATTAATCAGGCACTGTCTGGGGTCACCCTTGTTGTAGCTTAAAGCCCTGCCGGCAGTGTGGGCTTCCCTCCAGAAAGGCCACAGTCAGTGCATCCACGTCTGCTGCAGTGTTAATGGCGCTGTTCTGCAGCGCAGCGCACTATAGCCTATTACTGGATGTGTTAACGGGTCGGGTTGCGGGTTAAATATCAACGGGTCGAGTCGGGTTCGGTAGTCATCCTAACGGGTTCGGGCGGGTGCGGGTTGGTAAAACTCGACCCGTGCAGGACTCTACCGGACAGTATTCTGGGTTTTGGGTTTTGCTAGCGGCCGTCTGGGTTCCAAACTGGTGATTTTACTTCCTGTCCAGGGAGGAAAATCTCTGCTGTCTGACCCTAAGGTCACCATGTCGCCACAGTCTGGATGCCCCATATTTCCTCCATCATTGATGCCTCAGTATCTGTCCGACTCCTGACATCGTTACACTTAAACCTTAGATAAAACATGCTAAAAAAGAGGTCTTCAACAGGGGGTCCGCAACTCCTAAGGGGTCCGCAGAGGTCCTGCATGGGGGTCCTGAAAGACTTTTATATTCCCTCCTGCAGTTTTTTCCACTAATTGAAATATCTT